TTGTTTAATGTGATTTTATTTTAATGTTTTCAGCCAGCCAAGTCTTTTGTTCTGTACCTCTCTTTGTCAAGGGGACGGTCTGAGCGATGTGACCTGAACGCAGCATAGAATTTAAGCAGAGGTTTGTTCCAAAATAAGCATGATTTTAATATACTGCATACATAAGACACATCTTATTAACTGTACTGGATCATCATGCTGTGGAGAACTCTACTAAAAGTAAAATACCATTCAGAATAATGTATTATGTTATATTGTGTTTTTATAACTATTGATGCATTTATGATGTTAATCACTTTAATGTTTTGGTTGGTCAATTTGGGGCTAATTATACTTACTGGATGTGCTGCTATGTAGCTCTATGAATTTCCCCCTGGTGATCAATAAGTATTATTATTATTAGTAGTAGTAGTAGTAGTTGCAGGATTATTAATAATAATATGCACAGGAGAAATTAAATTATCAATTATAAAGCTCAACGGCCTCTTGTAATTCCAATGATATCTAAAAACCTTTATCTATCTTAAAGTGTCTTTCACCAGACGAGGGCTTTTATTTGGAAATTTCTTCCGAGAGGTTCGCCTCATATTTGGTCATTTAATAAGGTAAAATACAAATAAAAAACATAAACAATTGCAGTTGCTTTTCTGTTCACTATAGTTTAACAAAGGAAAAGCAAATGAGAAGTTACACTGCCTTGGAACGTTTCAAATTACATATACTTTTTTTTGCTGTTTTAAAAAATGCTGTTGTCTCGACAATGTCTTCTCTTTTACATATATACAAACAATAAACTTATTTCCTGGCATCACTAACATATGTTTGCAGCTGTTTCATGAGACGAGCGTCAGGGGTTGATGACGTCAGAGGGGTCCACCCTCCGGACTGAGAGGTTAGTGTTGCTGTTGTTTCTCGCAGTCCGCACGAGCTCCCACTCGCTCCACAATGGCCGGAGTTTACACACTTTCAGCCTTTATTTTAGCCTTCATTTTCTTCGGTGTTTTTATAACCACGGAGGCGCAGACTTCGACTCCTGCTCCAGACACGAGTAAGTGTGTTTTTATTTCATTTAAGACCGAGGCGTTGTGCTTTGTTGTGTACACAACTGGGTCAGGGGGTGGTCACATGATAACAGAAAATGGATTATGAGCAAAGATTATCATCTTAATTCATTGTGATGGCTTCCAAACAAACTTTAACTAAGTTTCTCTGTAATGTGAATGTGTGTTACTGTAAACTCTGTTGAGGATTTTTCCCAGTGGCCAGAAATATTAACTTCTAGTAAGATTTGATTTCCTTTCTTTTTAGGCCATTTATACAACTGCTTGAATTTACACCATAAAAGGAAGGTCACTATGCCCTATAACCTACAATATAACAATCTGTAACTTGTAACTTGTTTCAGTTCCCTGTGCCTTGAGATCCAACACCAGCTGCTCTGAATGTCTGCAGAATGTAACAGTAAGTCTGTTAAACTCCAGCCAAACACAGATAGATAAGATAAGAATTACTTTATTGATCCCAATTTAGGACATTTTTGCAAGTAACTTTCTTCCGTGTTGTTAGTAATACTATGACCAACAATATGACCCTAAGCACAGTGTTTGTTCCTGTTTTTGTTGCAGTGTTTGTGGTGTACACCAACCAAACAATGCTTGGACTACCCAGTGAAGAACATCTTGCCCCCCAGGAGTGTGTGTCCACTGAATGATGCACGATGGGGGTTGTGTTGGGGTAAGACTCACTACGTTTACATTACACTTAAATGTGAAAAAAGGCTCAGTCAACCCAAGGCCTCAGATCACCATTAATGCCAACCTGATGTGGCTGTGTCCTTCAATTATTATCGCAATATCAATATATTGTCCGGGTCATTTTTCAAAATAGAAATGACAAACATTCTTTTGTCACTACTTTGTTTTTTTTACTTGATAGTAAAATCAATGTTAAACAGGCAATTTTAAGACCTCAACTCATGCTTCAGGTATGCTGATGGGCATTTATGACTATTTTATGATATTTTAGAAGTCAAACAATTAATCAATCCATATAATAATCAATAATACAAATAATTACAGCCCTAGTATATGACATATATCAGACAAATACTACTTTTTTTTGTTTTACCAATAGTAAAAAAATGTATGCGACTAGTTTAGTACTTTTAAATAATACTGATTGAATTAATGATTATAGTGCCAATTCTCCACAGAAGAACCATAGCCCACTTTTAAATGACGACAATGTTCTGGTCTACTAAGAGCCCAACTGCTTTTGTCCAACCGGAGCTGTAGTGTGTATTGCGATGCATTGACTCATATTCAGTGCTTCCTTTTTCACTGTGTACCTTCCTTTTTATTTCCAGTAAACTTCCAGATTTTGATCATCACCATGTCAGTGCTGGGCGGCGTCATCATCATCAGCATTCTGGTTTGCTGCTGCTGCTGCTGCAAGTGTGAAAGAGTTGGGTAAGCATAAAGCCATGTGAAGTGCTGGCTCTGAAATGTGGTTTAACATGGCAGGAGGAGGACGGGGAACACAATGGGTTGATTTTCTGCGAGGCCAGGCTGATACCGCCGTCTCCAAAAGCCTGCCAGAATTTGTAGCTGCAGCTTAGTTTTGAGGAAAAAACATGAATCTTTCTATTTAGAAGTGGTCTAGCCTTTTGTTAATGTAATCAATTAGCCGCTTTCACACCAAGTACACCAATGGCTTTTGGATGATGAGGAGACGGATATACAGATAAGACTGATTAACTGTTGCATGCTCCATTACGTGCTGTATTAGGCTGAATGCAAAGCACATCAGTCTCACTATTGTCATTTATTTTGCAATGCATATATATGTATAATCACATATTCTTTTATTTTAGGAACAAGAGAGAAGACGTGAAGGTTGAGCGACAAACCCGTGCAAGGAAGAGCCGTCAGAAAGCAAAGTAAATGGCTATGAGGACGGGATTTAAAAAAAGATAAAATAGAGACCCTTATTACTGGTACTGTCATTATACTGTAGATATAACAAAACAACTAACATACGAGTGAGTCTCCTGCACTACATTTAGTTGACTGTCCACATCATTATGTTGATAAAAAACATTAATAAGGACATTTAAAGAAAACTAATAGTATTTCTAATATCAATATTTCTATATCAAATGTGAAATAGGGTTTTTGGTATAAACTACAGCTCTCTACAGTAGTACTTTGTTTTGATCCTCATTGAGAATTCAAAATGTGTAGATGTGAAGGCATCCACTGTTCTCTGTTGTCCAACAATTTGTCTTTGTTTCTCTCCCTACAGGAGAACAGAAATGCAGATGAGACATGACGAGATCAGGCAAAAATATGGTGAGACTATTTCCTTGTTTGTGCAGTTTAAGTGGGTAATAAATGTACTTTTTGAATATAAAAAAATATATCTTTGTTTACATACTCAATGATGAAACAGTTGCAAAATGAATGTATAATGGGATACAATTAAAGAGACAACATGAGATAAAGATAACAACATTTGAGCCGATAAAACAAGAAAACAGCATTCATCACAAATCAAGAGAAAGAAGCAATGTAAAAACAACCAATTTAGTACATTAGCTCCATCTACTGGATAAAAATGACTCTGCATAAACAGTGTACATTTATTTTCCACATTTTTATTGAAATTGTTTTTGGGGAAAACAAGCAATTTAGAAATATGTTTGCTTTTAGAAAATTGTATTTGCATCCAACTTTCAAAACTCTTTCAATACAGTGCTATGCTGGAAGCCATAAAATGTGTATATAATTTGTTCTCTATTTTTATTTGTAGGTGTTGCAAAGGAAAATCCATACGCCCGTATGGACGATCATTAAGAAGAATCTCAGCGATGATTCCTCCACCAAAAATCCTTAAGTTGATCTTATTGATGCCAGTAACATTAAGATATGAAACTGTGATGATCTGATTTCATTTCAGTGTTTGTCAAAACATGTCACCAAGATGATCTGAATTTATTTTTGACTAAGTGTGCACCATATTTTACACAGTTTCCTTCACCTAATATTTTATGCACATTGTTTTCTGCTGTTAAACCAGGTTGATATTTCTTTTGTCTTTTCATAATATGAGATTCTGTTTAGTTCAAAGCATATTGTCCAACAAGCTATACAAAATCACTGTGTTATTTTGCATAACATGCAGTATTGTTAGTTTTGTACAACTCAAGAGAAGTTCAGAGCAATTGTGGTTCTTAAATAACAGCAGTTTCATTTTAGTTGTAATACGCACTATTTTACTGATCTGTTCTGAAAGTACAACATTTATTTTTATATAAAAAGTTTATAACATGTGACTTAATGGATGAAAGAAATGTGTTTTCTTGAACTACATGCGAGTGATTTGATTATTGTGCAGCTTTTGTTTGAAACCAATTGGGACTATTTTTACTTGCTTGTAAAGTGCTTTTAGCACCAGGAAAAGCGCTATATAAATAACATGTTTTATCATTATTGCTACGATTTATAACATAAATACATTTTAATTTTCTTTTGTGACTTAAAAGAAGTAAATCAATTTCCATAATTTACAAATGTCATAATTTCCCTGACACACCTTACCCAAACACTTTTACAGAAACAAGAGGATTCAAATGAAACTGTTCTGTACTGAGAGAAATAATGGAACTATTAAACCCAGTGGAAAGTAATTTCATATGTGTGCTTTCATATATCTCTCACTTCACCAAGGAAACTAATATTCTGCAAGTGTTTCTCTATATATTCATTCATGTTGCAGTTCCTGAGAGCAATGTGTTCTTCTTGGTTTGTTGTGTTTTGTTTCTGAGTCCCAATGCAAATGTTGTTTTAACTATTTGGATCTTCGGTCAAATGCAGAAGGGCCCTTTTGTTTTCCCTATCTCGCGGGAACGCGCAAATTAGATCACGTATCCGCGCTCACGAATAAACGTGAAGCACGTGACTCCTTTTTGTCGAATTAAATTTCAAATCACAGTACGCGCGCGCTCCTGATCTAAACGAAAGAGCCGGAGGAGCTGATAACACGCTTCACAGTTAACAGCCTGCTTCTGCGTTATCAGTAAACCAACGGTAAAACAGCACAATGTCTGAAGAGAAGCCAAAGGTTTGTAACATTTCTCTGTCTCTTCGAAGGAACGTCTTGTTCGTGTTTGCTGTTAGCTGCTAATGGTGCCAGTTTCAAGTTAACGTTAGCACATTCAGCTAAGCTAACGCTAGCTGCTTCCAGGCTACAGACTCCGCATTTGAGCGGGTCGACGGAGAAAACAAAGGTTGACCAAATAGCGGATCTTTTGTCGAACAGCGCTTTGTTTGGACTGTCCCCTCAGTATGAGCATCCGCTACTGCTAGCTAACGTTTCTTAGTTGTTTAATCTTACATTGAGGGTAGGTTTGTTAACGTTGGCTTCGGAGATTGCAAGTGAAATGAATGATTTGTGTTTTCCCTTTGCGCCATTGTGGATTTCAGCGCCAGTTTGAACATGACTAGCTTGCTATGCTAACCACAGGGGGACACAAATGATTCAAGATTGAAAGGTTCAGATGCTTTATTGTCATGTGCACGGGAGCTACAGTGTAGTTATAGCAATTAAAAGTTAAATCTAAGGCTCCTCCAACAATGCAACATAAATATACTGTATATGAAATACAACTATACTCAATATTGCAAGAAGAAAAAGAGTATAACTAAATAGTACACGATTATGTTGCAATACCAGTGTGCAAGTCATGCAGGAAAATACAACTATTAACATGTCAAATTAAAAAAACATTAGCTAAATGTTGTAGAAAAGGTTTTAAGTAACCAAGTAAATGCAGAAGTCTATATACATGTAAATAAAATGTAAAAAAAGCAACAACATGATGTAGAATAAATGATATAAATACTTTTGTGAGATGAATTATATGGAGTTATGAAGGTGAGTGTGTGGGTTGGAGTTGAAACGTTTAAGCTCGTCGCTATGACCAAGCTCTTTCTATTGAAACTTTAACGGAAGCTAACATGAGTTTGCTGTTGTTGTAGAGTCACCTCATACTACCGGACACCGGCAGGTTAACGGTAAATGATGGCGGTTGGTGGCTGCTTGTACTAACCATAAATACATCCATGGTAGTAACGGCAGAGGTTGGAAACAGGAAGACTGAACAGTGTTGTCTTCCTGAATGATTATGATCTAAATTAAATGCACTTTTCAATACATTCCCACATGGTGGTTTTAATTCGTCATCGTGTAATGGGGGTCGTCGTCAGGATTCACTAGCAGCACTTTTCGACCCCCTCTAAATAAACATTAGCATCATGTGGGAGTGGATATTGGATAATGTCATCATATCTCAGTTTTTTTTGCTAATGAGTGTTTTTTTGTTGCAGGAGGGAGTGAAGACGGAGAATGAACACATAAACCTCAAGGTAGCTGGTCAGGATGGGTCAGTTGTACAGTTCAAAATTAAAAGGCATACCCCTCTCAGCAAACTAATGAAAGCCTACTGCGAAAGACAGGTACGTTTATTCTGAAAGACTGAAACATATACCTGTCGGTAAATTGAACCTTGACTTAATAACCATCACAATGGAATGAATGACCCAACTGTTGTTTATATTTTTGGTTTATAGCTACTGGGTGCAATATTTCATTTCTGTTTGTTTTGTCTTACAGGGACTGTCAATTCGTCAGATAAGGTTTAGGTTTGATGGACAGCCAATTAATGAAACGGACACACCTTCACAGGTTAGTGAAAGCTGGTCTTGTATTGTAACAATGGATATGATAAATGAGTGAATATTCATCATTCACAGTAGGGCTGCACAATATAAGAAAAACTGACTTTACAGTTGTGTCTGGCGCACCGTCCCTCCCTGCTGGGGTGTTACACTTCAGGCCTTCCAAACCAACACACCCAGCAGCTGACTATGACCCATCGATTTGATTCACCTGGTCAGATGCAGGACTGCCAATTGAGAAATGTAGAAATATACCTGTTTGATTATGAAATTGTAGCACCTAGACTAGGAAATGATTGGAAAACACTGGATAAGTAAAGAACAATGATACATGAGAGTTTTCCTTTTGTCATGACACATGTTACTTTGCTGACATTGCACTTCCTATGATGGGACTATAGCACGTGTGCACAATGTCAATGTAAAACAATATGTTGTGCAGCCCAAAACAATTTTTATTGAACAAAAAATATGAATATTAAAAACTAGTAGCCATCCCCAAAATAACATTAATATATTTGTCTAAAAATGTTCATTTGAAACAGGAATTACAGAAAACAAAGCAGAAGTATTGAGGGTTTGATACCAAGCTCTACTTCTAAGGAGACATATTGTGCATTGGCTGTAGAGTAATATATATGTTTTGTTATTACAGCTGGAGATGGAGGATGAGGACACTATTGATGTATTTCAACAACAGACCGGGGGAGTCTTTTCTTAAGTTGGACCTGGACTCTGGAAAGAACATCCACACCAGTTCTTCCCTATTGTATTTGTTCTCCTTTTTTTTTTTTCACTCTGCTTGGTCAGGCTGTTCACAACATAGAAGAAGGTAGAAGGTTTTGCATTTTGGGCCAAAAATTAACTTTGAGATGCAGGGTAATTTAGAAACATGTTTTATTCACATTAATGGATGATTTGAAATTGTCCAGGGACACGTCTCAGATCAGATATGGCTCGTAATGGGAAAACAACTGCATACTTTTGATGTTGAAATGACCTCACGCATGTCTATAAACCATAAGCTAAACTACAAGCCAAAACCTTGCTTTTTCTTCTTGTAAGTTTTCCAGATTGTTGTGAGCATTTAAATTCAGGGGGGCCTCAGCTACTTTTAGTTCATGTACTTGATAGGATTGCTATGGAGGAAAACTGCTGGATGGGAGCTTGTGGTTATTCTTTGTAAACAGGAACAACATATTTCCCATGTAATAAAGTTGTCTTTTTTTATTTGATGTATCCATGCCCAAGACAAATGCAACTTCAAATCCATATGGATGTTTTACCTCAATATGGTCACCCTCAACCCAATGGTAAATAAAGTACAGTAATGTTTCTGAACCAAAAGGCTAAATCAATATTCTTTTATAAAAGGGTTTGGTTAATATATAATATGTTGATGTAAAGGGTTACTGTCTCTAACGGTGGTCTTTGTTGTCACACAGCAACAGAACAGTTCTCTCGATGTGTTCATTGATTTCTTTCCAACTATTCAGGACTCTAGAAAACAAATATTTCATCTTTGCCAGTGAAGAAAATGCGTATCTCATCTAACAATATATATTTCAGTTAATGTATAAACTATTCAGGCAATACTTTGCTGCCAATTTTAAAATGTTTGTCAAAAATCTATCCAAACAGTTGCTTAGTTTGTTGGACTCGTGTGTTAGTAGAAATATCATGTCCACTTAGTTTTTGCAGGGTGACATGGACATATTTCTTTTGATTTGTACATTATTTGTTGTCCCTATACTGTATACAATAAATATAGTTTGATACTCAGTCTCTGGCATTATGTTTATGTGTAGACCTATAATATTCATATTTCATCTTTTTTAAACCTCCACATCTTGGGTGTAAATAAACAAATCAATTAAAGGCCTGACTGTCAAAAATAATTGTTCCTAGACTGGATGGTGATATGATTTGTAACAAAAGGTGCACATACATTCAGGCCACTAATGTATGATGTTGGAATTAGGGTTCATTGTTTCCAGGTGTAACGTCTGGAACAGTTAATTTCACCAAGTCAATAATTATTTGATTTGTTTATCCTCTTGAAAAAGTTGTGATTTGCAGACAGCGGTCTTACCCAGAGTGGGCAATACACTCTCCATACATTAGAGGGCATTGTTGCTCAGAAGATTTACAGGACTACGTCTTGCTCAGCTACATCTGCATCTCTACTTCATCACTGAAGTCCCCAGCCCTTAATTTAAGAAACAAAGACGCATTTGTTGCTCCACTCCAGCCTTTTGAGGGCCATAACTCCATGAGTCTTCTCTTAAGAGAACTTCATTTCACAGATGTTAACTCAACTGAGCAGCCAATAGAACTCCCCGAGCCTCCTCACACAGAGCTCTGATTGTGCTGTCTTTATTTCTGGCATCTCCTTTGCATTTTATATTTCCTTGTGGATATATCTGGAGTCTCATATTCCCCTAGACATCTTGGAAATGCAGCTGCAAGGTGCCCCCTCAATCTATACATTCAAAAACCTCATCAGTATGTTGGTAAATGCTTCATATATAAATGTAAATAGATATTAACTGTACTGGCCAGATTGCTGTCAATGAATAACACGTTTTTGTTGCTGTGAGTCACAATCAGCTGTGGTCAGCGATGCTTGTAATGCAGCACATACCATCAATTGTCTATCTTAAGTCATGCACTGCTCTGCTCTCAGTGAACAGTGAGGTCTATTTGTTTGTAATGGTTATAACATAATTGGTTCATTAACCACACATTCACAGAGACTGGAATTATGAGAAAAGTGTATTACATGAGTTTGTGTTCCCAAGAATAACTTACACAGATGTCTGTAAGATATAAATAACTGCATTAGAACTAATAATATGTCATGTAATACTCTAGCACACATATAAACATTACTCATTAAGATGACATAATGTATGCAAATTGATCTTTACAACATTGAATCAATTGAGCCCAGTCAGTTTTCATTAAAGCTAAAATGATGGATGTTTCTTTACAAACTCTTAACATCCAAATACTGGTCCTATGTTTTTTTTTGCATTTGTTGGAATGAGTTCTAATCTTCAAGCTTCTTCCTTCATACACAGTTTGAATGAACAACATAATGAGCAGCATCCTCTGAGTAAATATAACCCAGTAAGTGCATACACATGTTCTACACATCACATACATCATACAACACAAGGGGAGGAGTCTGAGCAAACAAGTTTAACTTGGGACACGTCATTCTTGTATGAGCTCAGTCAACCGTGTTAAGCATCCTCCATGTCTCCAGCCAGCAACCTCAGATGTGACACCATCCCCCGTTGAATCAGTCCAGCAGCCTGAATAAAACCACTGTGCATCTGGAGAACCTCTGGATCGCCTCCAGAGCGCTGTATGCTGATGTCATCCTCTTGTGCGTAATGTGGTCCCCACCCTGCCAGCAGATCAGATTTCATCCCATTCCATGTTGAGATCTTTAAGGGAGTGTTAAGGGAGTCAGCTTATGTCATCATACAATTGTTGTCATGCAATCATTTAAGAGATTTTACATAACCACGAAAATTAGTGATTACCTAGAGTCACTTGATAAATATTGCTTTGATAACTTTGAATAATAGTATTTTATAATATAGTAGACTTTTTTTATAGTAGACATTTAAACATCACTGTCTTTTGTGAAAAGGATCAAAGATTAAATGCAGGTGTGCTAGTTCCAGGGTTTTGGTGCACATTATAGGTCGATGCCCCAGCTTACTGGGACATTATATTCATGTTGTGAGCTACACCTGTGCCATGGCAAAGTCAAAGTGTTTATTGTATATGTAAAGTGATACAAAAACAACAGTAAAATAAAGTGTTATGGTCCCTAAAGATAGGGCTAGAGTAGACTGCCAATTTACAAGCTAGGCCTACTCTGGGGGAAAAAAACGTTCACATCATCAACTCTAAAATGAAGTTGATGTAAGTTTGATATTTCATTTTTTTATTCATAAAGGCAACACATGTAGGCTACCCCTTTAACATGATTTAAAATATATTGACTAAAAGCCCATAACCTACATGAAGAGTACATAATGAATTCCCTTCAAAGAGCCCCTGTAACTATCCTGGGGGGGACCAAAGTTCTCTCACAATGGACTCGAAGTACCACAATGCAACACAACAAATATCATCTCCTTAGCGACGGCTTTGGGAACTACGCCCCGAGAAGAAGTCGGAGGCTTGCCCCCTGAAAGGACTCTATTGTAGGGAGGGATGAATCGTGCAGCGGTGGTGTGTGTGCTGTGAGTGTGTGTGTGTTTGTGGAGCCCCCTCCTCCTTAACTAGCTGGTCAGCAGCGGAGGGATTATCGAAGCAGTTCCACTCACTACTAACAGACGGGGAGACGGGGGGGATTGCAAAAAAGCGTGAATCATGCTTGTCGTCATTACTACCGGCTGGGAGTGGAGCCGAAATTGTGCAAGATACGGATAACAGCGAAGAAAGGTCCGTGTGGAAGTTTCCAGGTCTCCTCATTCCGCCGTGAAAATGCCTCACCAGGGGCTCTGCCGCTGCTGCTGCTCGGACCCGTCGCTTTATGCTGCCTCCTTCACATGTGCTTTATGTTGAAGAACAGGATATAAACCTCTAAGAAGTCTGCGAGAGTGACAAAACCAAAGGACCTGAGGATATTTTTATTTATTTTCGCCGTGCGGAGAATTTCTCAAGTGAAAGAAGGAGGGAGAAAACTTGTAGGCTAGTTGTTGGACAAACATGGGGAACGCAGGGAGCATGGACCAGCACACTGATTTCAGGGGACACAACATGCCTCTGAAACTACCCATGCCCGAGCCTAGTGAATTGGAGGAAAGATTTGCAACCGTTTTGGTAAGTAAGAAAACGTTTTTTTTTCATCTGTCTGCTCTTTGTTCCCTCCATGCTTCGCTGTCCTGGGACGGGACAGCTGTGTGTTGGTGGGTGCTGTTTGTCCAGCACGCATGTCCTTTGTTGTTCAGAGAAAAGGGCTATTCCGACCAAAAATAAACTTGTGTTAGAGGCACAAGAGATTTGCATCTGTTGCAATGCTTGAATACTGATTAGAGGGTGAGGTAACACTTATCAAAGACTTTTCAACCCTTATCAAAGTGTAGTTCAACAGGATAGTGAACTTATTAACACTCAAATGTAACTTTTTTTTAAAAAACTCAACAAGTTTCTGAGGCTTTTAACTTTCCTTACACCATGCTGAAATCCACACCTCTCATTTGGGCTCCCTTGACTTCAAACACAACATATTAAACGTTTACTGTACTTTAGCCTTCTTATTCAGCAGCCTAGGTCCATTCCAATGCTTCTGTACATTTCCTAAATTTTTGTAGTTACACCTGCAGTTAAATGATTGTTTTTATGGCAGTTTTTCCTAACTTTATGAGTCCAGGCGCTGGCTCACTACTGAAGCTCTAAGTGCCCAGCATGCCAGCTCCTTTTGAAACATCTGTCACATCATAAAGTGTCAACCAGCGTCTGTCAACAATTATGTTACCTGAGAGGGAATGCAGCACATTCCTGGTGTTGTTGAAAGATCCTCCAGACTTTGAAGAGCTTTCAAGTCAGTTAATAGGAGAAGGAAAAGTGTTGATGCTGATGGTTGACTAAAACTTACAACAATATGTTGACTGACTAATGGGGAATAGTTGTAAGAAGCCCCATTGGATGTAAACTACATTTCATTGTCTTATTACTTGTACTCAATAAAGTTGAATCTTAATCTTAAATAATTATTAACCATATTAACTTGCACTACAAAATGATTACACAGGCCATTATTGTTGCTATCAAATATCTGTTGCTGAAGGAGACACTTTTCCGCACAAAGCTCCCCAGCCAGTGAATAAAGGCCTAAATAGAAGAACAGTGCAGTGATGGTGAAATTTGAGAGCTGGTAAGATGTGGGTCAAACGTGATTGTTGCCTGTTCCACTGCTCTCATGAACATTAGCTGCTAATTTTAATGTTGAATTTGCTTTCAACCTTTCTTTGCTGCTTTTATTCTGGTTCAGGGCTTTGCTTTTGCTAATGTTGAGCATGTTATGTAATGATCTTGTTCTGCAGAGATCTTTTAGCCTGTAAGCCCATTACAGAAAGTGGATCAAGTTGAGGTGGAAGTCAAAGCATTGTGTGCTGCTGTGTAGTGTTGGGGTGTGATTGCTGCTTGTCAGAAGCTGATGAATCCCATTTTGCGCTGGAGGTAGAAGCCTTTGGGGCAGTGAGGTCTGACGTAACACAACAGAGGGATTTGGACCTTCTCCTTAATCACGCCTGCTTTTAGATTTGCTTACTTATGTCTGAGCATTGAGGTTTCCCTTCTTACATATGGGTTTCTAAACGTCAGGAACACTTACGATCCAAAAATATGTTGTACAAAACTAATCCTTATTATGCTTTCAAGAAGGAAAACAAATCCACCTGTCTAACTTGAGGATTTTGTAGGCTGGCTGTCAGAAAAGCAGATCCTCACAGCATGTCAGGAACTCCCCCACTCACTCCCTTCCTCACCCCTGCTGCCAAGCATGATGCCTCAGCTCATGGTGGGATGGAAGCCCTCCAGCTTTAGAAGAATTTAGTGCTCTAATCACATCATTTAGTGTTATTTACTGCCATTTAAACCCTAATGTGTCTCAGACGTTTCTGATGGCTGTTGGCTCCATTGATGTGAGTGGCACTGTGTGACTCTGATGACCTCACTTTGGTTTGAATAGCAGATGATAAGGATAATACCTCGTCACCCCTCTCAGTAGCCTTCTCTAACATATCAGTGGTAACCAATGCTGATGAGTCAACATTTAAGTGTACTTGGCTGCTGATCATCATTCCTTTCACCTAATCATTAATCGTTTATTTTGTATCCTCTTTATAAACACCTGACACTTTTAGTTTAAGAATTACTGCAAAGCAAGTCTTCCCTCAACCTAGGCGTGAGGGAATGGCAGCCGGACTGTTTACCTTCCACTCCTAATATGTTTAATCAACAGGCAAGCCCTGGGTAGCAGTGGCGAGCCTTTTGGATTAAAGTCTTGTGCCGTGTTCCACCACATTCAAGCACACGCCTAACTAAACCCTTGAATTTCCTATCAAGGACATACAGTATTTTAATTCGGGTCCATGCTGTGTGATATGAAAAGCCTCCTTTGAAATATTGTCTCATGACCTCAAACATCTGAGCAGACCATATGTGTGTAACCACACAGAGAATACGGATAAGTGCTACAGCAGGGATGTACTGGGAAGGAAATTCAGGCCGGGGCTTTGAGATGAAGAAGCCTGACATTTTATCTGGCAGTAATTTGAATGCCAATACAGTTTTTGTAATATATAAAAACTTGTATTATTCTAAAGATTTTCAAGACACTAGTAGGATGTCTTGTTGACTCCCGCTTCCTCAGTTTGGAACAGTCCAAGAACCTGACAAAGCATTTAATTATAATTTTGAGTACCTGGCCGCAACTTGGTGTCACCGGCACATTTTGGACACTACCAAAAAAGATCAATGTCTGTCTCTATTCTTTTTGTGTATGCTTACGGTAATAATGAAAGATATAAAGGCTATCTGTTTCCAAATAAAAGAAGCAATTCCTTCCCATTAAGTTTTGTACAATATAAAAAAAGTTTCCACTGAAAGTCAAAAGCTCCAGGAACTAGTGGTACATGGAACAAGTGAGGAAGTGGACCTTGAGCAGAGATTGTTTTGTCAAGAAAGAACTGTAAACTTCAATGCGTTTAATACAAAACTAACTCATTTGATTATGTCTTAGTGGTGTTTTTAGACATCCTACTTACTGTCAGCCACCTGAAAACAACGAGAAAATGTCCTTTCTAAAAGTTAATGTTAGGCTTAGATGTGTGTGATATCAGACCACAATTCACCAGCATACATATCAGTATTTCCAGTCGGATATTTTAATTCAGTTTGAATTTTTACCAGTGGCTTTGTATGATCGCATGGTACCACTTTTCGGATAAACAACGGTTACTGGCGGCATTTTCTATTAAATGAAAAGCTCCCATTGAAGTCTCTGTTTAATGAATCCCTGGAGCCAAGAGCTGATCTTGGAAGTTTAGACTTAGGCTAATTGTAATGCAAGGCCTCTGTCGTGATAAGAGAGTCACATGTGACCTTGTCCGTGAAGTGAGGTGTAGTAAACCCAAATATGAATTGTTTAAAGAACAAAGGTGGTAGATTTCCATGCAAGTAAAAGCTGGAATGTATTCACTGTTTCACAAGTGTTTAAGTGGGCTGTTTGCTGTGTGTGTAATTCCTGCTAGCTCTTTGCTTTGTGTCTTGTAAATGTAACTTGTTTAGTGTTTAAAAGGGCTTAGCTTTTCACATTTGACATCTATTAAAAATGTCTCTGTAGTTGCATATAAAGCATTTTTGCAAGTCTTTACCTCTTTTGTGGTTGCCATAGTGTTGCTGAGACAAGTCTACAAGAAGATGGGTCTCACATGATGATGAGCTAGTGTGAGGAGAGCCCTTTAAATGTTTACTCTGCACAGCAAAACGCTCATAACCCAGTGAATCAAATGGTCATGTCAACATCTTGGTAGACCAATTTACTCTGGACTTATTGCTTAATCAATCCAAAGCTACCATTAAGCCTATCATTAGAGGTATAAGCAACATTTGAAAAGGGGAAAATGGGTCTCTTGGTCTATAAGGTCACACTGGCTGAAAGCATGAAATGACAGCAGTCAATCTCTGACTCATATGTACAGAATGAGCCAGTCTATATGCTTCGTGCAGAACCACAGGAAAATGACTGTGTAGCAGGAATTCAGCCCAGGCCTCATGTCTGCTCCTCTGCTTCAGCTAGCCACAGAGTTGACATCAAATAAAGTTGTACCCACATCCAAGACACCATCCACTTCCATCTCAGAGCTGAATATCATGTCTGCTGTCAAAGAGGCAGAGATGTTTACAGACCATACTTGTTTAAATGCCATATGGGGAGAATAGGCTTAGCTGTTGTTGTAGCTGCTCTTCTTAATAGTCTCTCCAGATTACATCTAAGCTTCTTTGTTTAAAGGCTGCTGAAGCACCCTAGGTTGCTGTTATTTGTGCTGCGAGGCCATGCATCTGAAATGTACTCCTTAGGTTAATCACAAGAGTAGCCGTCGGGTTTAACTGTAGAGTAATTTGTCACATTGACAGGTCCAAGGTAGCTGTGTTTGACCTGCGCTCACAACAGCTCAACGTAAAACCCTTTCAAAGTATCTAGCTGAGATTAAACAAACTGAAGTTTTAAAAGATGTATTTAAGGCTGGTATAATCCATTTATTTCAGTCGATTTCAAGTGGAGATTTTTTTATTATTTTTTTATTTTACGACACAAATGTACTGCCTTGTTTTGCGTTCTCGTGAAATAGCTTAAAGCCACATTAGGCAGTTGCAAAACAGTTCTGAGCCACTGTATGCTGCCTGCTCAGCATGGGACATCACACTGACACGTGGCATCTAGCTGGTAAACATCTAGAATTTAAACATAAAGACCAAGACAGAGCTACAGTGAGATACTGGAATTGTAATTGTCAGGTGTTCCGAACATTTGCAAATATTGCATCCGATTTGCAGGTTGTTGTTTACTCAGAAAGACAGTTTGAGTTTTGATAGGCCGTCTTCTAGCATGTGATTTAACTCTCCCATAACCTTTCTGGAAACACAAGGATCCAACCATCTCCTACATTGATACATGGGACCCAGGAAGTGACTAAGCTAACCCTTCTAGTTTTTCCATGTCGACTCTTCTTCATTAAAAAGCAGAACAATGGGTATTGTCTGAGGAGCAGAGGGTGAACACTGGCTGAATCCCGTGCAGCAGACCCGGGAACAGA